ATGATATTAGTTTGCTGAATGGTGTTTCTGAATGGTGTTTCTAAATGCATTGCTGATTGGTATGCTAAATGCTGTTTTTGTATATAGTATGATATTGATTGTATTTTATTACGTACAGTGTTAAATTTAGATAGTCAATTTGGTGTATTTCATATAATTATGATTAAAATCACATGTGTTATGACTGCAAACAACATACTTATCTTTTTACTGAACATGCATAAGACACACCTATAGACAAAAAAAGAAAAGAAAGGGGACGAGATAAGCAAATTAAAGTGAGTGACATAAAAATTCACGTAAACTTCAATCAAAGTGGGTAGCCTGTGTTCGATGAAACTGCCAAGTTGGCTACTCATATTGGTGTCATCATTCGTAGTAGCATTTCAATTACATACACCAATTGACGATGAGTTCCTAATGATCTAAAAGATGGTATATGGTTGTTGGTTGTGGTATGTTTATTCAACTATTTCATAAAATTTGTTAAATGATTATTTAATTGAAATTCAATGTATTCATACTAATTATGTTAAATTATTTAGGAATGATTCGACATCCCAATTGACTATAGAAAGCTTGTGTTACAATCTGTTGATAAAGCATTCAAGACTTTAAAAGTAGATTGACAATCCAATATATTTTATCGTTCACTGATCAAAGTGATGTATTGGTTGTTCCACCTACATCATATGCAGATGTTATAAGTGTTGAAGATTGGAGAAATTTTGTTAAAGATTGGCTATCAGAAGATTTCTCAGTACACAAATCCATTACCAAAAAAATTATTTATAAGATTTTATGCAATATATTCGATATTTTTATATGTGATTTATGTAATTTTTTTTTTTAGAAAATTAAAGAAAACCAAAGGAATATTCAGGCTAAACAAATATATCACCATCGGATAACGAGAATGAGATATGCAAATGTCAAGTATGAGCTTATAAGTGTTCACACACTTATTTTATACTCATAAATGAATATTTATGAACATTCATTTCATAGATTTTAATACTTATATTGTGATAATTTATTAGAAATCAGCGAGCTCTGACACTAAAGTTTTCAGATAAGATGTTTGAAAACAAAGAAATCTGTAGAAGAATGAATCTTTTACAGATGAAGCAATAAAAAAATTGGCTAAAAAGATTCTATGTATAATTGCTCATTAAATCACATATGATTGGCATTGTAGTTGTATGCTTGACTCTATACTAGCTTATCTAGATTTGTTGTTACAGCCCATCTTATCATTATCTTTTAGGATGATTATATTGCCAAAGTTAAATCCGGTGAACTGGTAACCTAATATAGCAAAGATCCATTGTCTTTAGCATTAAGAGCTAAAGAAAGGCCTGGTCGCGTTCTTGGGATTGGTAAATTTGTGTTGCCATCAAAGTTTTTTAATAATAAACCTAAAACCCCTCGAATGAAAAATGCATAATATGAAGCAATTATTGAGCAACAATAGTAATGACTTGATGACCAGGAGCAACGCCTCAATGAGCAACAGTAAAGACTCACTGCTTTAGGGGCTATGTTGGCAGCAATGCAGCATAGCATGCCTGTAGGCCAGTCGGATAGCATCATCCACCTAGGACAAGCTTTCGTTGCAAGTCAGGCAGGGAACCCAATCTCCACTACCAACCATGAAGTATAATTTTGTTTATAATTTTAATATTAAATTATTTATTATATTTATTGATTTGGTTTTAATACTTATATTTTATTATATATTGTAGCAGAAATTTAGGACTTAGAGTATGATCCTTGCTCAGGCTATCATGAATGAGTTATCTAATTATTCACTCGATCATTTATTTGGAGAAAATTGCATAACCATTGAGTCTGAAAAATGGTTATTTGATAAACCATCATTTTCTTACATTGGTATGGATGAGGTTAAAGAATTTTATGAACTGGATGAAATATCAGCTGTTGATATTGTTGCTTATATGAGGTTAGCTTATAAATACAAATATGCAAACTCAATATGTATTAATCTATATTACGGTGCATTACTAACTAATATTGTTGATTGTTATTGTGCAACTTCCTATATAAAGAGGTCAAGGTGAGACAAACAACCCATAGATTTAGATTCGTTGACCCTAACTTCATTATTGAACAGAGTGACACAGTCGCTTTTCGTACTAATCATGTGATTGAATATATGAAAAAATGAGTTGATTATTATTTGCTCCCATATAATGCGCAGTAAGTTATATTCATACAAATAATTATTTCAACCTTACCCGAATATGATATGATATCTAATCTGAGTATATCATTACTATTATTTTACAGTCGTCATTGGCAGCTTATTGTGATTGATACCAATTTCTTAACGCCATACTTAATTTAGCTCAACCAACGATAATGCCTAATCCTAAAATTAAAACTTTTATAAAGAGGTATTACATGTTTTTATATTATAAATATTTTATTCTTCGTAAGTAATTTTATTTATCTATTAAGTAATTTTTTTCTTTTTAATTTAGAGTAATATCTGCATTCAATAAGAAGGCAAAGATAAACCGGGTGTCATTACTGATAAATGTGAAATTTATTCTTTTATGCTGAGTTTGTGTAGATAAATATTTCTTAAATCCACTAAATTTAATTTTCAGGTACCTTGTCAATCTGGATATACTGAATGTCGATATTATGTCCTTCGTTTTATGCGAAAGATAGTTTTATATGATTTTATGACCACACCATTCAATGTTAGTATAAATTTCATAAAGTTGTTATATTTTCAAAAAAAAAAAAAAAGCTAAATTATGTTCTTGTTTATTAATATTTACTTTTGACTTTTTTTAGTGGGAGAGTAAAGAAAGCTTCACAATAGAAGAACTTGATGAAATCCGTAAAGAGTAGTGTGAGTATGTATTATCATTTATTGATAAACCTTGAGGTTGGATATTGTTGGTTGAATGCAAATATATGAGGATCATTTGTTGTAATATTTTTAACATGCCATGTTGTATAGATAATTTAATTTTGTAGATTGGGATATTGATTTAATATTATTGGTATATATTTGTTTTATATGAATACCCATATATTGAGTGATTATTTGAAAAAAGTATATTTATATGACAATGTTATCTGTTTTAAATTCAGATGTGTGGTCAATTTATTGAAATACAACAATGTTTATAATATAAATTTTAAAATGTAATTCGTAGTATCATATATATAAACCAAATGTTTTCTAGGCATAAACCTAAAACAGACTTCACATATATAATTAAATCAAAATTTTTTTGATGGGATTACTGAAGGCGTTTTTACTTAGAAAATGTCTTGAATAATCCCTAACAAAATGTTATTGAAGGTATTTTTGATCAAAATCGCCTTCAATAATTCTCATAAAGATTTATTAAATGAATTATTGAAGGCGTTTTGGGCCAAAAACGCCTTCAAGAATCTGTTTCAATTTTTTGTATCAATTATTGAAGGCGTTTTTGACCAAAATTGTCTTCAATAATTTCTTATAAAAATTTATTGATTAGATTATTGAAGGCATTTTTGACCAAAAACACTTTAAAAAATTCATTTCAAAATTTTTCTATGGATTATTGAATGCATTTTTTTATCGAAAATGCCTTCAATATTCTCTCTTCAAAATTTTTAAATGGATTAGTGAAGACATTTTGACCCAAAAAATACATTGAATAATCCCTTACAAATAATCCCTTCAAAAACCCAAAAACGCTAAAATGAGGATCAAACCTACGACGTTATGGTTAACAACCGTATGATCCTTAAAATTTGATAGGATATTTATTGAAGGCGTTTCTTGCAGAAAATGCCTTCAATAATCGCCAACATTTTTTTATGAAGGGATTATTCAAGGCGTTGTTTGTCAAAAACGCCTTCAGTAATCTCCTATCTATTTTTACAATGGGATTATACAAGGCATTTCCTGTAAAAAATATCTTTAGTAATCATTTTAATTTTTTACAAAGAATTATTCAAAGCATTTTAGTCGATAAACGCTACTAATTTTTGTTTTGGGTAACGTTTATAAGTAAAAACGTTGTTATTTGAATATTTAATAACGTTTTAATAATAAATGCTTTAAATTTTATAAAAATACGAAAGTTAGAGGTGTTTGTAAATAAAACGTCGTTACAAAATTACTACTAATATTTTATTTTCTTGTAGTGTTTTTTGTCTTTACATCCATTTTTTGGTCTTATTTTCTACACTTGTTTTGTACAGCTTGGTTTAAACCAAGGCCTGGCTATTTTTTTTGGTTATAAATGCCTTGACTATCAAATTTTCACTTCGTTGAACTTGAGTTACAGCCATAAAATAATTGCTCATGCATTTTTGTACTTTTCTGGTTGGGTCATAGTGGTCAGTATAGCTGACGGGTGTAAAATTATGAATGACAATGGATAGGCTATAAATGGGTTTGGATAAGATACGCTAGTAAACTTAAAGTTATTTATTATTTGAATTTGATTATAATTTATATTTTTTATATTTATGAGAAACCAAAAGAAAATGTAGTGAGTTTAATTTGAGAAAGCATTTTGAAACTACTTCCAAATTGAATTATAATTGGTAATTCGTTAGATGTCAAACAAAAAACAAATTATTATATAAATTAAGCTTTTAAAAAAAGGAAATTCATTTACTTCAAACATGTAAAAATAATTTACTCAAACAGTTTAATTCGCGTTCTAAACATATTCGTGCGTGATTTCATTCCCCATATTAAAAGAAAAAAAAAAAAAAAAAACAGAGAAGATAAAATTAGCTAGGTTGGTTTTATATGGAAAATTTGTAAGTATTCTTATTCTCTCTTTTTTGGGTTTCTTCGTATAATTTTTTGGTATGAAAAATTCAAAATAGATAGATTTATTTAATTCTTCAAATCAAAATAAAATATATTTTATCAGATAATTTAAAATAAATAACTGTAAGTCGTACATTTAAAATAATTTTAATAAATGATTATTAATAAAACTCGACCTAAAGCCTCTTGATCAAGAAAGATTAACCTTAACTATAATGCCAACCACTTGTCGGTCTTTTTCATCCGTTTTGATCTTTATCTTCCCCTTCAAAGTTTTTTATTTAAAAAAAAGGGATTCGAATCTTGCTTTTATGCTCGGACATAGACATTAAGTGTACTAATATTTTTAGTATATGCACTAAATTATGAAAACAAAACACCACTTTGAATTACATTGATGTATGTGCAAGATCTTCCCAAATCCAATCCTAGTTTATAAAAGAATGGGAAAATTTTGTAAACGGTAGTTTAATAACTATTCAATTTAAGCATTCGAGATGGAGTAAAAAGTTTATATGATCCATAGCCTTCATTGATACTAGAACTCTGGCGACGAGAAGGGGTGCAAATGATTAATGGACTGTAAGCAAAGCTGCAAACGGGAGTGCTTATTTCTTCTCCACTGTCCATCTCTGCCAAAACTTTGTAGAACAGATCAACATCGCAAGGAAGCTGAAGGGGACCTTCACTGCTGAAACCATATTCAAGTTCAGCGTCTTCTAGCAACATCTTGAACAATGGATGGTTGGCAAACTCGGTCTTGATCACGAATCTTTGTCTTTGGGGTCCAACATAGACAGAAAAGCAGCCTTCTGGAGCTACCTGACACTTGTTTTTCCCTTTATGATCTTCTTCCAGGGAAGACGATGATCTTGTTGTACAGCAGTGCCATGACTTGCTCTTCTTCAATGCGTCACAAGAAGTTCCTGATGACTTCTTGCTGCCAGTTCCAAGCGACCAGCATCTTTCCCAGGCCCTGACAATCACGTTTTTCTTCCATTTCATCTTCAAAACATCCATTCACAAAAGAAGCCTGTTTTGATTCACCAATGCGAAAATTGAACGCCCCTTCTTTTTTGCCTGTTTTTGTTCACAAAATTCAACGGAACCTGAAAACGAAGTCTTGATCACCAGAAATAATAGAAGCCAGAGAAGAAGAGAGGGTGAATCTTGTTCCCGGATAAAACCATCCAGTAACCTTAAGAATCCAAGCAAAGAAAAAGAGATGAGAAGGTTAAGAGTAGAAGAAAACAGCACGAGATATGATTTGAGGCAGGGGTTTTATTAGCGGATAATCATTATAAACCAATCCTGGGATATCAGTTGGCACTGTTTTATAGCCCCATACCCCAAATACAGACTCCAACAAATAAATATTGCATTATTAATTGTACTTGTCAACGCACAAACGCTGCTGGATTTTGAATATAAATAACAAAGGTCAATATGGAAACAAAGAGGCCACTAGTTGTTGTCTTCAACGCCCCTGCCTCCTAGTGGAGAAATATGATAACAAAAGCAAATCAATTCAAACATGAACTGAACATATGATAACAATAATTAAATAAAACAACTAATTAAACAGAAACCTGGTGAGAGATATGACCTCTTGTTGCTATTGGGGATATGTTGTTGTCATTAGCACATGGAGAAGAAGACATTGTAAAGTGGGAGTAGGTTAGGTGAATTTCTGGGAAGGCTTCACTTCACCTTTTGTCTTCTTCAAATTTCCCCTCATTTTTCCTTTATGTGAGTGTTTGGAAACAAAGTGAAAGGAAATTAAGCAAAGGATAATTATTATGGTGACGACAGCCTTCATTTACGTAGGCTAATTGGTAAGATTAATTCTAAATCATCTTAAACCAAGTTTCAACAACTTTGTACATATAAGACCAAAAAAGACAAGAAAATGTTGGATGCATATGATGGTTCATCACCTGATTATGATGCTGTCTCTCTGATGTGCATAGCTGTTATCTCAACTTCTGGTTTTATTTTATGCATGGATTTTTATTCAGATTTTTTCTGATAACAAATTTTGATATGTAATATTTTTAGGATACCGAATTAACAATTAAACTTTAAATTTGGATAATTTCAAATATTAAAAAATATATATTTATTTATTTGTTTTCGAATAGAACTTGTCAATTGTGTCATTGTCAACTCTCTTTAAAGTAAAATTTGCAACAATAATTGGACTAAAAAATATATAAATCCTACAATTATTGATTCTAAAACAATTTACCAACAAATCAAAGTAGTGACATAGTTTAATTTTTTGACTTGGTGGTATTTAGTTTAAGTTATCCTTTTGTGCATTTGGGGGCATTGGTTTTACCATTTCATTTTCCCATTCCAATCCGATTACAGATGATACCTTCACCATGTAGTAACTCCCAAGCATATGAAGTTGACAAATGGGGGAAAAATTAAAGAATTTGAAGGTGGCAGCCATTGGAAATCCATTGCTGGTGGAGCATAACTTTATAGAAAATTAATACTAGTAGCTAGCTTTGTTTTTGGCTGCGCCAAGATTGCATGAATATTGGGTTAAGTTCCTTCCCATCAATTCTACCCATGACGAGTTTAAACGTGTTTGAATCAAACTCTTTAGTAATTCTTGAATTTGATAATTCGTATATTTATATCATATTAAGTTTTAATAATTTATGTATTTATATTATATTTTATAAAAAAATATGTATTATAATTTATATTAATATAAAAATATAAGATAAATTTTTTATTTTATTTAATTTATTTATAATTTTTATTAAAAATTTAAATTATATTATTTCTTATCTTTTATTTTTATTATTTTTTATTATATTACCGTTTAAGATTCTCAAGTCCCCTTTAGCACAGACCAGTGATCGACAAGATGTTAAAGTTCGATGATTTGGCAGCAAATTTCTCCCACCCTCTCTGCGACTTGACTGCTAGCACTCGCCATGGTCAAGTTTCCCTTGACATTTTTAGCATGAATAAGCCTAATTTCTCAAATTTGACTTTAAATAAATATCATTTTATGATTAAATTCGTAAAAATTTCTTCCATCACATATATTAAAAAAAAAATTCCTTTAATATTAAAGTGCAATAATTTATCACATTTTTTATATTTTAAAAAATTAAATTAAATCGAATCAAAATCAATTTTAATCTAATTCAACCATTTGGCTAAATCATTGGACCAGGGACAATTTTTTTGGATGCTTGAATTGTCCTAAACTTGGGGCAGATTTGTGATAGCAAGATGGATGAAGACGTTTGAATGGGCAAAATAATGGAGGCGCCACCATCCATTTCCATTATCCATAGTTAATTTCTTCTTTCCACATGTGTTGAAGTCTATGGCTTTAAATAGGACCAGGTACCATGTACCATGTAACAGCACGACCCACCTCGTAATCATTACCAATAAGTCAAAACGATGATTCCCACTTTGGAAGTTAAGTGAGGAGGATCCAGATGTCCCACCGTGGAAACGAAAATATGAATTCGGAGGGCTAAGCTTAGTCAAATGACATGTGATCAATAGGATAATTTTCAGTTAAAAAAATAATGAAGCCTAGGAAATATAGCCGCTTTAACCATCGACAGCCATACAACTTGTCAGCTTTTGCTATTGTTTTTTATTTGAGGCCTGAGGATGATTGTTGAAGAGTCACCTTTCTTCCGGAAATCACCTGCCAATTTCCGAAAAGAATAAAATTGTAGAAGCATCCCAACTTTTGATTTGATTCAATAGTTCATAATAAGGGATAGATTTAGATAAATTTTTAAATAAGATTCATAAAATTTTTTATTAAAAATAATTAAGAATTAAAATTTTTCATTACATAAATTTAATGTGTAAATTTTTAAAAAAAATTAATGAATTTTGATATATATTTTGATATAGATATTTTTATTAAAAATATTAATAAAATTTTTATTATTGAATAAGTATCAATCAAATTTGAATTATAAATAATATTTTTTATAATTTTTTATATATTATTAATTTTTACATTAAATTTTGTTAATCTATCGATTATAATTTTTTTATTAATGTTTTTGTTAATTCATTTTTAAAAAAAATTCATAAATTTTACCTAAAGAACTTTATTTAAGGTTTGTAGGTTCAAATTTCTCGTTTTTTAAATACGAATGAAAAATAAAAAATAAAAAAAAATGTTTACCATGATGCAATTTAGTAATTTAAATTTTTTTGACACTTTATGATTATAATTAATTTTCTTTAAAATTTAAAATTTAATTCGATTAATATTCAATAACTCTAAAAGGACCATTAAACATGTATAACACTAGTAATAATTGTGTCCTAATATCATTTCCAATATAACCTTGAGTGGAACAATTTTGCTACAAATTACAAGAGTCTTGTAATTGATAATCTGTTGAAATTAATATATGAACAAATACATATAATAATTCACATGTTGCTTTCTCCGATTTTATTAAAAGAGGACCAAACAAAACGTGAAAGCTGACATCATTATATGTTTGTTCATGATTGAGGAATAATATGAAATATATAAATTAATATTATTCAACAATAAAACATGCCAAAAAAATTCAAACTCCTTTAAAAAAATACTACAAATAATAAAGTTGATATAAAATATAATCTATCAATGAAACCTGTAATTTTTTCTAATATAATTATATAAAATAATTGTGCATGTTGGTACAAAATTTTTATTTTTTTTAATGAACGTTGGCACGTCGCATTGATAAATATGATCTCAAAAAAATAATATAATATATCTATGTTGATTATCCAAAGTAGTGTTATAAGTTTTGTCTTTTTTAGAAAGGAAAGCTTTTATTTAATTTTTAATATTAAATTTTAAAGAATTCCAATTTTAATTTAAATAATTAAAATTTAATCTTTAAATATTATAAATAAATCTAAATAGTATAGCATATGTCATAAGTAGGCCCCTAGCCTAAAGTAGGTGGGCCAAATATGGGGTCTCATATATAACAATTGGGTTTAGATAAGTCGGCCTCTTGTCAATCTGTGGCAAGTATAGGGTCTCATGACTCATATATAACAATTGGGCTCAGAACTTGAAAGAAAAATACGATTATTTGACACGATAAGCTAACATAATATTAATATAATATATAATATTAATTTGATACAAAAAATAAAAAAATAATATAATTTAAAATTTTAATAAAAATTATATATGTATTTAATAAAATAAAAAAAATATATTTTATGTTTTATGTTTTATATTTTCGTATTAATATAAATTATGACGAATAATATTTTTATAAAATATGATATAAATATATTAATTTTAATATTTTATATGATAAAAATATAAGAATCATCAAATCTACTTTGATTGCATCACTTACTGTTGTTATTGCAGTTTCTTGCATGTATTTTCTCATTTGAAGTTTTCTTCCTCTCATCCAATTTTTTTTCTAGAATTTACTTAGAAATGGAGCTGAGCCCTGTGAGTGATTGTTGAGGACTTACTTTCTTTTGGAAATCGCTTGCCAATTTCCAAAAAGAATAAAGTTGTAGAACAATCCCAACATTTGATTTAATTCAATGGTTCATGATGGAGGGTTCAAATTTCTTATTTTTTAAATAAGAATGGAAAATAAAAAAAGTAAAAGAATGTTTGTTAGGAAGCCATTTAGCAATTTACTTTTTTAAAAAAGAATTTTATGATTATAATAATTTTTTAAAAAAAATTTAAAATTTAATTTGATTAATTCATATAATCATCATTCAAAAAGTGACATTCAATAAATTTAAAAAGACAATTAAACTTATATAATACTAGTAATAATTGTATTATAATATCATTTCGAGTATTCCCTTGATTGGAATAATTTTGCTACAAATTACAAGGATTTTACCAAAATGATAAAAAAAATCCTATGAAAATTTTCAATATTTGACTAATTAAATTTAATTTAAAATAAAATTTTTTTAATTAAGATCAATTTAGGATAACATAAAGTTATTTTTCAAATATATTTGTTTATATAATTTGTAAATAATTAATTTTCATAATTAATAAAATGTGATTATATTAATATTAATACCTATTAAAATATAAAAATAAAAATAAAAATTATTTAAATAGTATAATTTAAAATTTTATTTTATTCAACAAAAATTTATCAATATTAAAAAAAATTTCTTCCACAAAACAAGTGCATGAATCTAGCACATGTGACAATGCACATGTTGCTTTCTCCAATTTTATTAGAAGAGGGCCAAGCAAACGTGAAAGCTGACATCATTATATTTTGCTCATGATTGAGGAATGATATGAAATATATAAATTAATATTATTCAACAATAAAAGCACACCAAAAAAATTCAAACCCCTTTAAAAAATTACTACAAATAATAAAGTTAAATATAAAATATAATCTATCAATGAAACCTGTAATTTTTTCTAATATAAGTATATAAAATAATAGAGCATGCTAGTACAAATTTTTTATTTTTTTAATGAATGTTGGCACGTTGCATTGATAAATGTGATCTAAAAAAAATAATATGGTATATCTATGTTGATTATCTAAAGTAATGTTCCAAGTTTTGTCTTTTTTGGAAAGAAAAGATTTTCTTTAATTTTTAATATCAAATTTTAATGAGTTCGAAATTTAAATTAAATAATTGAATTCTCAAAAATTGAGATTTAATTTTTAATATTTACAAAATCTTTGTTCATAATTTTCGAGTTTTTAATTTTTGAAATTCTTAATCAATTCTTAAATATTTTTTTA